TGAACATGTGGAGGCCATAAGAGGGCACCAGATTCCCTGAAGCTCAAGGGCGCTTATGGGTGGTTATGGGTGGTTATGAGCCACCTGGTGTGGGTACTGAGAACTGTGGCCCTGTTCATAAAGACTACGTGCTGTCTACTATGGAGCCATCTTTTCAGCCCTTCCCCCTCATCCCCTATCCTTTAGAATGTTCTTTTTTTTTTCTCTAAAGAACAATCACATTTTACATGTTTGATATTATTTTTTTAAGACTTAGATGGATGCCTAACTTAAACCAAAAGCATGCTGACTTGATAGCAAAGGAAAGCTTACACATGCCTAATTTCACCATACAGTGGGCCCGGCAGGTCTAAAGTGATTCTTGACCGTGACTGAATAGTTGTATATTTGTCAGAGACCCAATCTTGCTGCACTGTGGACAAGGTTCACTGGTGGAGGACCATGAAAGTAGCATGCTGTTGAGAAAGGGTTGATGTGCTGCTAAGCCTGGCTTTGGTCTTTATGATAACTAAGCTCCATTTACACTGCCAACCATGTTTCCAGGTAAGTGGTCCCTGAGCCACTTATCAGAGCACATATTAGAAGGATGCTGTACCAATTTCAGTTAAAGCTAAGGGTACCCAAAGAAATGCAAACGAACACCACAGTTGTGTTTCACTGCTTTTCATAGGCTTGGCAATCAAAGCAAAACAGTTTTTAGTGGCTTTTGCAATTATACTTCCTTTCAATTTTCTAAAGGTTACAGGGCCTGAACCACACAAATCCCATTAAAGTAAGTAGCTGTTGTGCAATATAAATTGCTTTGAAAACATTCTTCAATGCCCATAAAGTGATCAGCGGTCTGCACTTCAGATCCGCTTGCCTGCCATGATTTCAACCCAGAGACAGACGACACACTTTGATGTGGCGGTTGGTTCTGCTACCGAAGTTGGCATTTTATCTTCTTGCATCAGATTTCTTCCCAAATTGATGTGACTCAGGCATAGGAAGCACATTTTTGCTGCGATTTTCTTCCTAAAATATGTTTTTACTCTACCTTTAAATTATGCTGGGCCGACCCTTGATCTGGGACCTCCAATGTTCCTCCTCCTGGAGGCAGCACAGCAGAAGGTCAGGGAATGCATGGGGGATGCAAGGTCTTAGTGGGTAGAGGTTACCACAGCCGCCTGGGCCTGATGCTTGAAGGGATCACCCTCTGCTTTCTTCACCCTACCTCCAGGGTAATGTCAGCAGCCCAACACAGAGTTCGGAGTGAGCTTTTATGCTGTAGCCAGAGTGAGTGCCATTTTCTTTTCCATGCACAGTTTGTCTGTCTTGCAAGGGTTCTGGCCCGGGTTTCTCATGAAGCTATGCTAGAAACACTCTGACCCACTGAAAACACTCTTTTTTTTTTTTTAAAAAAAAAAAAGCATTTCTGTCTTGTATGTGGTCCTGATTATTATTGCACATGCATTTTGAAGATGCTTTTTACATAAAAGAGGAAAACGGAAAACTGAGTTTTGTATTCACAAAGGAACAAGACCCCAAGGCTTTTCCTGTGTCTAGATCTGAAAAAGACTCATTATAAAAGGTTTATTTTTTTTCCTTTTGTATTTAAAATTATCCAGAAACAAAGACAGCCCTGACCTAATTAGTTGCTTTGCACTATTAAAAAGAATCTGAATTCAGGAACCACTGAGCCCTTTAGGCGTCAGGGTTCTAATTCTAGTCCCTGCTTCTACATGACAGTACAGGTCTAACTCTTCCAACTTTTATTGTCAGCTCGTCTGTGCTGCCTATATCTCCTTTGTAATAATGATTGGATGCACAAAGGCAAGAAAATATCTTCCTAGAAAGAGCTGGACCATAATTTTTTTACATAGCATTTGATAAAATAATAACATTTATATGGAGATTTAAGAAGGGATAGGTTAACATGGACTGAAACTATTGTCCAAGACTTAACGCAGGAAGTAAAACATGAGATGTGCTTCCTAGGGCATACTGATTTTAATGTGTCCCTTAAAATGAAAGAGAAGTGTGCCCATGTGTTTCTAGGGAAAAGAAGATGGAAGATGGAATGTAGGGAGGCAACTGAAAAGGAAAACACAGAACACCTGACCCAAACAGCTACTCAAGATGAACATATGGGCATTCTGGCTGGAATGGTATATGACACAGTGATTCTTGTTCACAGAGCTGCCTTATAATATTTTCTAACAGCTAGCACGATCAAACATTTCCCTTGAGCGATTTTCCTTGCTGGTGCCTTCCTGTTCTTCCCTCGCGCAGAGTGTCTGTTGCCATGTTCAGTGTCCTGGCCTCCAGCCTTGTCTAGAAACCTCACATTTTCCTTGTTAGAGCTCAGGCAAATCACCTTGTCCTTCTAGGTCCCTTACCTCAGCTGCAGAATGAGACGAGACAGTTGGGTTCGATAACTTCTTGCACTTTCCTGGTTGCCAGAATTTTATGATTCATGATTCCAAGTGAGACTACACCTGTCCATAAAGCCAGCTTAGTCATCGCATCAAGAAAGTAGCAATAACTACACACTTGGAATGTACTTAAACATCAAATCTATAAAATCCATAACTTCCTTGTATATTTTTTTTATAAAAATTTGTTCACAATTCAGTGTTATTCTGAAGCTTTATGAATCCTGACCCTGTCAGGATGATAAAGAACCATGTCCATCCCATCGAGTCAGTTGGATACTAGCGCCTTTGGACCACATAGTTTGAAATTAGCCTTCACTGTCCTAACAGAAAGAGGACTCTCCCGCCGTGAAAAATACTCACTGCTTTTTCCCCTTGTGTTCAAGCAGAGCCCCAAACCTGACAAATGTATTTATCACACGTTCTTCAAGTGCCCTGAGTTTGTAAACTTCAGCAGTGTTTATTTATCCTCTCCTGCTGTGGAAGACACTGTACCCGATCCTGTTCTTCAACGGCAAGAAAATCTCTCAGGCTGCGATCAGTGAGCAAAGACAGATGAGCCAAAGGGCTGCCGCTCAAGCTGTCTCTGCTGCCTACTTATTGTCTCTTTCCATTTGCCTTGGGTTCTGAAGGACATTTGCCAGAGCCGGACTCCTGAGACCTTTGTTACTTGCATGTCTTTTCTCACCTTCAACATGATCGGAACTGATGTTTTCATTTGTTAAAACCAACAAGAACATTCACTGGGAAACTCTTGCTGGAATCACTTCAGATCATCTTAGCTATTTATTCCCTGTCATAACCTGTAATCCTCCATTTCCCTTACTCCCACGTCGGGGGACTTGGTGGTTTTAGAGTGGACAGTCAGTGGGGTCTCAGTGAACAGTGGGAGATTTCAAAGAACTACCAAGTGATTATATGGCAGGTTGTAGTACTAAGAACAAGATGTAAAATATTCTTGATCTTGATCAGAGTTTGGCAGTACAAGCAGAAACAGGATTACAAAGCAGAACAAAGGATTTGCAACTTGTGGTTATACAGGAGAAAGAATTCTGAGTGAAGAAAAATCAGAGTATTTACTTACTCTGGTGTTTACTTTACATGACAAAAATATTAACTTGTGGTCTGATTGGTCTCAACTTTAGAAAAGTATAGAAGATAAGGATTTTTTTTTCAGATTCACATTTAATGGAAACATAAATTTCAGGGTCAGACATTGTCTCAAAGTCCCTGAAGAGCAGAAATACTAGAAGAGTTAGTTATATGGAACTGCAAACAAGAAATCTAGGAGGGGTGACAATAAGAATAGTACGAATGCTTCCAGACAATTGAACAGGGAGCTAAAGGATGTTAGGTCCTACCCATTTGAGTTACAGTGTTGATGCTATTGCCAGCTACTTTTTCTAATAGGTAAACAGTGTCAGCCATTTTAGCCTGGATGTTCTAGGCCTGGAGAGATCATAGAAATTATGATTCAAATGGTTCCATCATCAAAATGTGGCTAATATGAGGCTCTCAGTAGGGTGTGGCAGAGGCTCCCTCAGGGTGCTAAGTGTCAAAACCAAAAAGGACTGATTAATGGACTCATGCAGCAATCATGGAATGTTGGTCAGCATCTTCTCTCTTGAACCAATTGGGTCAGATCATTTTTTTTTCTACAGAAACACTTTTCTGAGGACAAGAGAAGTTTCATGTTTCCTTGGGGGGGGGGAATTCAGCCAGTGTTTATTGTATCTGGATCTTTAATTACCAAGGGCAATATATAGTGTCTATTCTCAGTCCTGAAGGAGCCTAAGGGGGAAAAAGTCTCAGAGTTTAAAGACAGTAAGTAGTCTCAGCCATCAGTCATGTAGAGATCTGCTCTGCAGGCATCCCCAGTTTCACTTGCAATTTGAACCCAAATATAAATCTAGAACAGACTCTATTTTTTTTTTGTGGTAACAACAACATTACAGCTGAGGTGAGTGTTGATAAGACAACTTGATTCTTGCTAGTAGCTTTTTCTGAGAATGCTTTGTGTTTTCAGTGACAGGAAACCATGATTGGATGTGCTAGAAACACAGAGCCGAGAGCTTGTTTTTGTTGAGGATGGAACAAATATACAACTTCTCCTTTATCCTCATCTTTATTCCTTGTAGTTTAGCTTGAACTGAGCCTCTCTGGACAGCATGTGCCACAAAAGAGTGTGTATGTATGGGAAGTTCAAGACTCTGGATAACGGTTTCATAGTGTTAATAGCACAGCTGGTCAACCACTTGGTTTCCGCAATCAATCATTCTTATTCTGGGGCTTGGTAAGGGTTTCAGGACAGGCCCATGTTACTCTCTGATGGGGCATTTTGCTCTCTGGATGATTGGCTAACCAAAATGGCTTTGGGATAATTTAGAGCAAACCCAAGATGGACCACGCAGGCAAAGCCTCAGAACTGAGGATTCCTGGCCCTTGCCAGCATTCATTTAAGAAAAATGACGTTTGATTATAATACCTTGCTAAGGATGTGAGCAAAAGAAGCAATCTCTCGTTATAGATGGCAGTAAATAACACCTCTGGAGTGACCTCCATTCCTTATCACCAATTTCATTCCAGATGACCAGTTGAACTCAGAGGAGAAGAAGAAAAGAAAGCAACGGAGAAACAGGACGACCTTCAATAGCAGCCAGCTGCAGGCTTTGGAACGTGTCTTTGAGCGGACACACTACCCAGATGCTTTTGTGCGAGAAGATCTTGCACGTCGGGTGAACCTCACTGAGGCCAGAGTGCAGGTAACTCATGCTTTGGATGGCATCCACCAAGTGTCCCCTCCGCAGTGACACATCTCTGGAGATGGTTTATCAATACAAGTTGTAGGTTTTGGGGCTGCAGCTGATACTGATATGGGTTGCGAATATAAAGTATGACAACGGACTTCATATCTTTCATTGAGTTGAATGGTACTTTTCAAAATTAAAGAGAATGCCTTTAGGGAGGGTAAAATGTGCTGTAGGAAGGGCTATCTCTCTTGCATTGTTGTGAACCTTATACAGTGGTGTTCTATATACAACACACATGAGGGCCTGCTTCAGCATGCCATCTCTCAATTTGAACCCTAGAGTGGCCATAACCTTTAACTCCCCCTCACCTGAGCTTTCCTGTCCAGCTTGGGACAGTACCAACCTTGTTCTAAGTACTCATGATTATGAATGTTGATAAAGACTGGAGATGAATATTGAGAAACTGAGTTAAGAGCATACTTAGAGTAGATAACTTCTTATAGTCTCCAACGTCCCTATGAAATAAAACAAGTTGAGGGAGGGCGAAGTAATGGTGGCTCCCTCAGTCAGAACAGGAGTGTGAAAAGATCTTCCACATGGGGAGACAAGAGCTTCTCCTCAAGGTTCTCCCAGGAGAGAAAAAAAAAATCAGTGCAATAATGCAAGAAAAGACATCTAGACCTTTCCTGTGGCCCCAAGGAAAACAAGACAGAACGTTGAGGGCACACTTCTGTGATGGCAGTCAGGGCTCAGATGAGTGCACCATAGCAACAGAGCATAGCTCCACACTGACATTTGGTCCCGTTCTCTCCATCCCTCCCTCCTCACAGATCTGAAGTTAACCCCAGTGAACTAACTCTGCCCAGGTTGCTTTTCACACGCTGCTATGAATTCCCTCTGCTTTTCTGACCCCTTCCACCTCCTATTTCCACAACCTCAGCCTGCAGTGAAATGATGAACAACTTTAAATGAGTAACCCACACACAAAAAAGAAAGAAAGAAAAAAAAGGAAGCAAAGCAAAGAAAGAAAACCACTTACAAAAACCATGCTCTCTGTTTGGGCATTTTATTTTCTAACTTTATTTTATTTTGATCTTTGATTTTTGTTTTTGTTTTAATTTTTGAGAGACACAGAAAGAGAGAACCTGAAGTTGGGTAGGAAAGGCGGTAGGGAAGATCTTGGAATAGTTGGAGGAAGGGAAAATATGATCAAACATATTTTGTGTAAAAAAAGTTTAAATTAAATTAAAGAGATTATTATCCCCTAGTATCTTACAGCACCATTTTGCTGTAGTGCTCTGAACTTTAAAAAGCAAACAGGTAGTGCAATGATGGAAACTGTTTAAAATATGGGGAAGGGTGACTTTTGAGTTGGGAGATTAATCTTGTCCAGTTTCAAGAGCTGAATGTCATGCACGGACATACATACGTGCAAACATATACACATACCTACATACATCCATACACATACATGGTGGGAGAGGCAGGAAATGCCATCTCTGTCCCACCTGTGGTTCTATCATATATCTCTGTTTATCTTCCTTTCCTACGACACTACAAAGCAATGACTTTTATTGCCATGAGAGTTTCCTGGCGGAGCGGCACAGAATTGTTCCTCTGTGACTTTATTATTTCTCCTTAAACTCCTGGCCTTTCCCAGACCAAACCAATCACCTAACTCAGGGACCCCATACTCAGGACATTTGTCACAACATGACATGTACTGTATTAAGTTATCTGTGGGACAACTCCCCTCGCTGGCTGGTAAAATTCTTTCATATGGAGATAAGTTTTATTCATCTTCGAAAATGTCATTTCTCCTCTTTTCCTCAAATGTTTATTGAGCTACTATGGACTCCATGACTTGATTCGCTTTGTTGGAGATAAATAAGACTCTGAGAATCTTCTTACGGGTACCGTTGTCTGAAACAGAGAAAAAGTTGTGCAAACTATTGAATAATGATGGCATCATAAGATGAATCCCACAGTAAAGAAATCTGCAAGGATTTTTGATAGAGTAGGAGGAAAGAATGATCCACTCTGCCCGGGGAAAGGAAAGGGATTATGCTCTTATTAGCTGTACAATATGAACCAACACAAAACTCTTTCTGTAATCCTGTCAGTCACATCTGACCAACCACGAGACAAAGTAACAGAGATATTAAATAACATTTGGATGATAAATCTTTGGTATGGCATAGCTGTAGTATAGCTGGTACTTCTATCCAGTTCTTTTAGACCTTAATGTCATTTGCCTTCTACTATTAACACTTGACAGAAGATTGGATGTTACAATAAAACCTTGGATTTGATACCTAGACACAGAGAACGTTACTTGCAGGTAGAGGGATTGTCCAGTGTACCTGTGCGCGGAGGACAATCAGCTTCTGCTTTGGGAAGCCCTTTGGTCGTCACAAGCCGAAGATACGCTAACAAGTCCTGTGGTTTAACAAAGAGCTAGTTCTTGAATAGTGGGTTTTTCTTTTTCTGTTTTACGATAATTTCCTCAACTTTAAAGTAGAATTCTCATCGGCAGAATTCTCATGTGTAGTGTAAGTCCCAAGGTAGGTTACTCGTCCTGGGCTCAGTTTCAATAAGTGCTGAGTTTATCACTAGCTGTCTTGGACGCTATCAGGCTACCCCCATCTCTTGAGATATACAAATAAATGTCCTCCATTTAAATTCTCAGGGTTTGTGCCTGTGTTTTTCTTTGGAGAGTGTCTTTTATAGAACTCAAATAGGTTTTCACTGTCTGGTTCAATATGTTAGAAGTGCTGGAACCTTTAGCCAGGAGCCAGTGTACAGATGCCCCCTTAAGGGGACAGGGATACCTTTGAAGATCTGCCTTCCATTAGTTTGGTCTCTGGAATACCCACTTGATGGGACTACCATAGGGGTTGCCAATTTGCCAGGGGCACGCTTTGGTAGTTCTTTTTCTTCTATTGCGTCCTTATTCCCCTGATGGTTTTTCCAGCACCTTTTCTTTTTTCTTTTCTTTCTTTTCTTTTCTCCTTTCTTTTTCTCTTTCTTTCTTTTCTTTGTTTTGGTCTTTTGAGACAGGGTTTCTATGTGTATCCTTGGCTGTCCTAAACTCACTTTGTGGACCAGGCCTGCCTGGAAGATCTGCCTGCCTCTGCCTCCTTGAGTGCTAGGATTATAGGTGAGTGCCACCATGCCCAAAATTCCTGCACCTTTTCTATGAATGATTTTCTTCTTAATCCTTGCCACAAGGTGTGGGGAGATAAAGTGTTTCCTTCAATTAATAAACACAAGGAAAGCTGATGAAAAATTCACACTTTGAACAATCTTTAAACTTCCCTTAGAAAAACCATTATAACAATTGCCAACATTTTATGAAATTCTAAGTATATTGAATATAGGTATAATAGCCTTCATAACCTACATTTAGTTGTTTTATGGATTATTAATTGATCCCATCTCTGGATTCTTAATTACTAGAAGTATTTCATGGTCCCCTTGTGCTGGGTCTTGTACGTGCTAAGTTCTTCCCTGAAGTACTCCATAGACATGGAGGTTTAACTCTGAATCACATTGCCATTGGGGAAGGATTTTACTGCAGGATTTCGATTGTTTTAGGAATGGTTCTAGACCCATCTTGTATCTTTCTCGGGGTGGCATTATATAGTAAAATCAAGCAAAATTCCACCCATGTAACCCATTTTCCCTTGTTCTTCCTCTCCCTCTTTACCTCTTTCTTCCTTCCCAACAATATTCCAGGTGTGGTTTCAGAACCGAAGAGCCAAGTTCCGCAGGAATGAGCGAGCCATGCTGGCCAATAAAAATGCTTCCCTCCTCAAGTCCTACTCAGGAGACGTGACTGCTGTGGAGCAGCCCATCGTACCTCGCCCTGCTCCCAGACCCACCGACTATCTCTCCTGGGGGACAGCCTCTCCATACAGGTGAATGACTGGCCCACTCTCCCTTGCTCCACTTCCACATGCGCCTCAGCCATCCATCACACTCAAGGCTGCTTTTGTGGCTGGCTGACATTCCTTACTGGGTTAACCTCTTCAGAGACATTCAACTTGCTGGCATCCCCACATTTTTTCCAAGAGATTGCTAGTTGCCCCAGGAGCAGGGTTTGGGGCAGAAGAGAGAGAGAGGGGCAGCCATCTGCAATCTCCTCTTGGACTCAGGAAATCTTGTCAAGGTTGCAAAACTGGGAAAGAATATAAAAGAACAGATCCTCTGTAAAGCGGGTCCAGTGCCCCTCTTGGAACCATTCTGGAACAAAACTATCCCATTTAAGACACATTTGCTGTGTTACAGCCAAGTAGGGAATCAATGTGTAATGCTCCAAGTGTAGGACTAATGGCACGCTTCACAATAAATCTGGTTTTGAATTAAAAGTAAGGGAGGGAGGGAGGAACTGGAAGAAAAGTGAAAAAGAAGTTCCTTTTAATCACTTTCCTGACCCTAGTGCTCTGTTAGTGGGTAAGGCTTTCTTAAGATCCCCAAATGCTTTCCTATTTGATTATTTGTGATTTTTATATATCCTAATCTCTCTCTCTATCTCTCTTTCCCTCTCTTTCTCTGTGATGTGTTTCTTTCTCTCTTATTCCATATGGTACGCTTTAAAAAAATACACTTAAACGTTTATATCTAAAAAGGAATTGTTTGAAGCAGAAAATAATAGAATACCATTTCAGCCTCCGTTTGGAGACTTTTCCCCTCCATTCAGTGCGCTGCTGTTCAGAAAGCACAGGTTGGTGTAAGCATACCTAGGAATCCGGTACTTAACATGTAATCGGGCTAGAGTGCCTTTCTTTAAACCTAGCAGAAGCCCAGCTCCAAGCTATATATTCTGTTTGGCTGACTTCTACGGAAGAACTATGCATATGTTCATTTTTCTGTTAACTGACACTTGTATCTTTTTATTCTTCAAGTTAATGTTTGAACTAAAGAGGGGTTTAAAACTGGTTACAGGAGATTGGGCCCAGATAAAGAGTGAAATGCCATATTTATGAAACATGAGTGTTTTCCCACAGTTGGGAGGTGTCATTAAATCCCAAAGCCTCACCTAAAATGGTCTCTCAGGTCCAAATAAGTTCTTCAGAGAAATGCCTTACATGCATCTGGAAGTTTTATGCACCTTCCCTGTGGAATTAGCCTGACGTGCCTCAGTGATTGACATCAATATCTAGGAGAATGAGGAAATCCTGTTCCTGTGCTGGGCCTCCATTGGCCCCCATCCTGGCTGACTTTGGAAGATCAGTCATGTCTGTGTTTCCTACTTAACATTTAGATGTTTCTCTTGTAGAACTTACTAAAAACACATTTTGGAGACTGTTACGGAATAGCATATTCTTTAATATTTTAAATAAATGGAAGGCCTGCTTTCTCTATAACTATTGGTAGTCTATAGATTAAGTGAAAATCGTGGGATATGGGTGGAGTTCAGAGCCTGGTGCACCAAGATCTCTAGTTTGAATTTGGTTGCAACCAAGAAGTTCCTTGCTCCTTTTTATGCCTAAGTTTTCCTTGGGGTTTCTACCCCAGCTTTCAACAATCTGGATGACTGTCAGTGGTCCCCACCCATGGAGCTGAAAACAGCATACTACACATGAAATCTTTCCTGAACTAACATCAAGTTAGGCCACCTGAACCAAAGATAGATGGGCTCCAGTGTCAGCATCTAGAGAAACTAGTAACATGCAACTTGTGTGTGCCTTTTTGGGAAATATTCTATTTTAATTGAAAAAATAGAAATTCTAGCTATATTTTGAAAATCTACTCATAGTTTCACCAGCTTGACGTAACTAGTAAGTTCGTTTTATGACTAGAGTTTATTTTATATAGGGATAGTCTTAGTGTACATATTATTTTGTATTATGTTCTTTTTTTCACTTAAGACTGTATAACTTCATACTGCTTAGTGATTTCATGGTATGCATTTATTTCTCTTACATACAATGTTGTAAAAAACTAATTGAAGCAATATAGAAGCTAATTGTTCATATTTTGTATGAAAAATAAATTAATATCCAAAATAAGTAGAAAAACAAAAGTTTAAGGCAACAATTTAATCAGTGATATGTTTCTTTGACCTCATTTTGACTGAAGTGTTCATAATTTGGTTACTTCCTGAAAGTGGCAAAGGCTATTCTGTTACTTGGGGGGGGGGGGGGTTCTGCTATATTTAGAACCAAATATATTATGATTTTTACATTTCGAAACTTCCTAGCAAACATATATTTCTAAGGAAATATAAAAGAAAAACAAATGATGAAAAGCAAAGGAAATGATAGACCTTGTTGTTCCTGTTGGTACCATTATGTCGAGCTAGTTGTCTCACATGTGATATTCATTAAAAGGCATTTCTCTTGATCACCCTTTAGAGCATTCCTGTGTGATAGCTCTGTGTGATTTGCCCTGGTTCAAAACAAGAGGAGACTTCCTAGGTTTAAGTCTTCACCAAGCAGAGTTAGAACAGTACTTCTGGGCCCTGTTTCTACCCAACACATTGGGCTGCATGTCCAGCCTGTCATATTCAAACTTAACATTGCATTGTAATGGAAGTACTAAAAAGTATAAGACTGGAAAATTATCTAAATTCTCCTCCTTTGCTAGTCAAGCACTCTTTCTTGACTAGCAAAGCCTATCTGCAGCTGAAGTCTTCATCCTGGAGCGTGAACATCCCAGTGTGATGGCCAATGTCATTAGATCATGAAACCCAGGGACATTGACTAGATACTTTTGTCAGAAAGAAAGGTTTACTGACTTTCATTGCTGATCTCTGGAAGAAGAACAGGAAGCCAACTCATAAAAACAGTTATTTCCCTATGGTAACAATCATAGACTAGAAAATAGCCAAGCCCTCTCTCCTCTTTTTTTTAAACTTTTTTTTTTCTAAATGTCTTTGAAATTGGATGTGAAAATCATATAACATATCATCTGGACTGGGAAGGTTTTGGAATGATATTAATAATTACCTTAGGAAAAAACGATGTAAACCAGGATTGTCCCAGGCAAACTAGGGCATTTGATTCACTCTAATTATAGCTCACTATGACATCACTCACTCTCTTGAGCATATCAGATAATGACATCAGACAGGCAACCGAGTTACTAGAGATACCAAAGCATTTCTCAAGATGGAAACTACTTTCCTGGCAGAGGTTTTGTTTTGTTTTTGTTTGTTTGTTTGTTCATTTGTTTATATACATGTAGCTAACTGAAGTAAACTTGTCTTTGGGACACAAACCCAATACTTAGGTGAGAATGATTTCCTTTAAGTGAATTATAAGAATGAAAATGCACACAAACACTAAAATGATCAAAACTCACTAACCTCACAGTGTTATATGCCTCTTGGGTAACAATAATCAACCAAATTCTACACTATTCTTTGAGACCAAGTAGCGAAGAGACCCTTCCCACAGACACAGTTGTTCCTATGAAGGGTAGACAGTGAATGGCTTGGCTCTGTAGTTCTGTCAGGAGCGCCATTTGCAGAGGGAGGGCTGGACTTGCCACTAGTGGCAAGGCATAGAGAGGCTGAAGGCTCTTGTACCTTCAGCCTCTCAGTTGGTCTTGCTCATGGTGCTGCTCACATCTGCTCAACGCATTTGGCTCATTTCTCCCTTTCACACTTTCAAAAATAGATCTTCGTCCCTCCCAAGATGTTGTTTACACGAGGGGCTTCATAACGGATTCTAACGGAAGACACTGAAAAGGTAACTTGTCAGATGGGGAGGAGGGTGGCTTCTTGGGGTAGGACTTAAGGGGGACTTAGATTTTGTTTTGTTTTTTAAGAAATGGGGGGCTGACATCCTAGAAATGTAAGCAGTGGAGGTCCCCAAGTGGGAAATTAGAAGTCAGAACTGTCAGAAAACATGCCCGGCAAATAGAGTGTAGGAGTCTGAAGCAGCCTCTCCATACACAGTTACATGTTCAGGGATCACGGGGCTGTGCCGGTGAAGACTCTGATCCTTTAAGTCTAGAGGCAGCTGGGTTCCACGGCTCTCTGTTGCCCCACTCTGAAGTAATTCCCACGGTGCTCACATTTATATCTGACTAGCGTGGTTTTAGATACCCAGAGTATGAACCAGTGTCTGACTGTGTTATTGTCTTGCTCCTGTTGCCTCGGAGGCCAATACCATATTTGATTTATTGTGTAACTTTAGATTTAAAAATTGAGCTAGATATACTTTTCCTACTATATGTCTCACAAGGGAGCTTAGAATCTAGAAATAAACAATATGGTATGCTCAATACTGGGGGGGGGGGCGAAGAGAAAGAAACACAAAAGGTCTGGTGGCAGTAGAAAAATATTTCTAGAAAGAGAAGTTAAACATTGTAAAGGGGTCACAGAACATGCACCAGAAACTAAAGCCTCACCAGTGAAATGTGCTCCCACATGTTCACTTAGGAAAAAAAGCAAGTATGCATTCTACAACTCAACTTTTGAATTTTAATCAGAAGCTAGAAATGATGATTTAAGTACACAAGCACACCTCCAAAGGATTTATAGGATCTCACTTTAGATGTACATTTCCCTAGGAAAACTGAAATTTAATTTTCTTAGATGAAACAAGCATGTGTCCATTGTTCTTGCACTGGCAAAAGAACAAACCAAAGAGAGCTTCCAATGTCTGTATTTCAAGGTCCAGAAAAATGCGAACTAGAGCCTGTGAAAGACAATGCGGAGTGGGTAGAACCCTGGATTCTAAGGACCAGGAAGATGCTCCTCAGGCTGCCATAAGCATCTTTAGGATCATGTTTTAAGCAGCTTGCCATCATTTATTCAAAAAGGCTGAACAGAAAATAGCATTAAAGACAGAGTTCAAACATTACTTTTCTCCTCAGTTGTTTTGTGATTTATAGAACTGACACCGGACGATTCAAAAATCAAACCGTTAGAATATTTGCTATACTTCCCTGGTATTGGTAATTATTTTCACTCAGTATCCCTTTAAAGCACCTTTCAGAGCAAGCTGAATTGGCCATAAATGACGTGTCTCCAGAGGAAACAATTATCTAACCCTGCCAGCAGGGCTAGCTTTCTGCTGGGTTGCATCTGCTTGGAATTTCCAAATAAGGCAGTGGGAAAACTTCATGCTTCCCAAAATGTGTCAGCTCTGTGAAGTCCCATGGCAGACTTGATGAGTCAGCAGATGGAAGACAAGCATTTCTTTCTCATCCCTAACGTCTCCATGTGCTTTATTTGGCTGTGCAGCTTCTTGGTTACGGATACAAAGAGCTTTGTTAACAATTCAACAGAAAGGGTGCATTAGCCAACCTTTTAAAAGTCCCAGGACTCAGCTCATATATACGTGCTCCCTTTACAGGAATAAGAGAGTCTTGCTCAATGGGAAACTAAGCAGCACTTGGATGTCTGTCTGTTGACTGGGATCTTGGTGGTTGTCCTGTGTTTAACTGATACACATCACTGAGTTTCTACCTTTTTTTTTTAATTCCAGGAAGTTTCATTCTGCATAGGAACAGTGGTACTTTTACATTGGGTTGAGTGACCCCTTAACTGGCTAAAATCAATTAATTACTTTTGTAGGTGACTCTCTGGTGGGAAGAGATTTCAGGGCTCTTTTGTTGCCTGAGGCAGAGTTTTAGAAGTTTCCATGACATTAGAAAACAGGCAGTCCTGAATAGCCCCTCAGATTGGCAGCCCTTCAAGACAATCCTGCATCTGTTGTTACTTAAGCAATCAAGCCCTCCACCTTCCAATGCTATGTTTGAAGCATGACTAAGCAACTCTTTGGACAGCCAGCAGTTAATTCTCTCTTCTTTGACTGGTAATGGGCCTTGTTTGTCATGGCTATGTCCAAAAGCTTCCGATTTCTTGCCTATATTGCACATTTAGCTTGAGCTGTATAAATAGACCCATGTCAAATACCCAAAGGGAAATATATAACATATCACTGAGAGTCTGATTTGTGGGATTCCCTTAAACATTTTATTAAGCAGTAGAGAATGGAGATGGTGTGCCTTATAGCCTATGTAATGTGCCTTATAGCCTATGTAATCAGCTACCCAATACTGCAACACATTAGCTCAATCTTCGCAAGTTCGTGACTTTCTTAAGCATTTACCAAGTGAAAGTGGCATCTCTTAAGAAGCCTCCCATGGAAGTGCAACTTCATTTGCTAATGTCAACTGCTTTCTTAACTTCTGGCCACATAACTTGACGGATTTCATATAGTATTTCCACTGCTAGAATCACCGATAGAGTGTTGCTGTCATCACAGAGGTGCAGCAGAGTGCAAAAGGACACTGTTCTCTTCTGTGCATGCATGTGCAGACAGCCACTGAAATGTCTCAGTTACTAGCTAATCTCCTGTGCTATTCTAATTCTCAGTCATTTGGTTTTGAGTCAACCGTCCTTAGACAGAAACACAATATTTCTAAGAGATGTGTTACCATAGTAAGTACTCAGGCTAGAACATCAAATAGACTATGAAATGACTATAGCTAAAATGATGTATTACAGACAGAATTAGTATCAATAGGATAGTAGACAATTCAGAAAAAACAGTATCAACGACGTTAGACAATTAAGATAGGCTCCTCAAATCCCTCCAATCCCTCCTCCTAGTTAACAAATGAAATACTTCCGGTTATCAAAGAAAAGGTGGATTTCTATCAAGTAGGATCTTGCTGCCCAAAATCTCAAAGGAGAAAGAACAGGTTTCTTAGAAACTTGGGCTAAGTATATAAAGACAAAATTATTCCATAACAATCTATAATTTACCAATACTCACTTTTTCTTTAAGTTCTCTTGTGAAGTTTTAGCCTTGTATATTCAGAAGTCATTTAATTTTCATCCCAGTATTTAACAAATAATGCAGACACCCTGTAACATCAGCTTGTGCCTGTGTGTTTAAAATTTTAAAAGCTGTGGACTGTCTTTAGAATTTGATACTATCACTGAAGCACAGTTGAGAAAGGCTAATTTTATTTTTTAATAATCCGTGCTCTAGGTACACTATCCAGATCTGGCTATCTGGCTATCTCTTTATTTTTTATTTTCTTTCTTTCTTTCTTTCTTTCTTCCTCTTTCTTTCTTTTCTTGTTTCGTAACTTTGTTTTATTTATTTAAACATTTTTTATTATCATTTATTACAATTTATTCACTTTGTATCCCAGCTGTGTCCCCCTCCCTTGTTTCCTCCCAATCCCACCCTCCTGCTCTCTTCTCCCACTATGCTCTCCCCAAGTTCCCTCCTGAGGGGAGGTCTTCCTCTCCTTCTATTTGACCCTACCTTATCAGGTCTCACAGGACTGGCTACATTGTCTTCCTCTGTGGCCTGGCAAGTCTGCTCTGCCACCAGGGAGAGGTGATCAGAGAGCCTATCACTGAGTTCATGCCAGAGAAAGCCCCTGCTCCCCTTATTAGGGAACCCACTGGGTCAGGGTTTGAGGTCCTCTCCATGCATTGTGCTTGGTTGGGGTATCAATCTCTGCAGGGCCCCCAGGGCTCAGTTTTTGTTGTTGCTGTTGTTTTGGGTTTTTGTTTTGTTTTGTTTTGGCTCTGTTGGACCTCTTGTCCCCTCTTTTTCTTAGCTACTAAATTTTGAGTGTTTGGTATATCCTGGAAAATTCTGAGCTATGAATTTTGGGTTTGAATTGATTTCTGGTAGGATATTAGAGAGATGTATGCAATTCATCTAGAAAGTGAATGATACCTATTTGGCTTTGTCTTATCTTACTGGATTGTTGTTATTTACTCATTCATAATTCAAGCCTGCCTAACTGAGGACTCTTTTGTCTCCTCTATGTGATAAAAAAGTTCGTTTTATTAAGCTTTAATGCACTGAGTGTATTTTTTTTATTGTGAACAAATGTTTTTTATGGATCCAAGAATATCCAATGATTATACCACTGTATTCCACATCCTTCTAGCTTTGTTCCTTCTGATAACATAACTCATTTTCCAGAAAGGACTAGTTCTCAAGAATAAATGAATTCTCTTTAGAAATCATTACAGCAGGATTAAAGATGTCGGGACATGGAGCACAGGTCAGTTTAATCAGACTATATCTGGCTATGACTGTTTAGTAAACGGTTTATTGAACTCCACATGTGCGCTGGGTGTAGTGTAAGCTCTACCTGAAGATACAGTAGTGAAGAAGCAGAGGTGGTGACCTTTGAAGCTTAGGAAGAACAGTAATAGACACTAACCAAGTTATTAATTAGAAGTGAAATATGTGAGTCAAGCAAAAATACAGGGTGCCACAGGAGAACCTATCCTTGTTTAGGGAGGGATGCCTAAGACCATCTAAGACCCAGAAATGATCGGTAAGAGTGAAAGCTAGAAAAAAAAATTAAATGTAAGAATATAGAATTCTTTGTGAATCTGAGTCTTCTTTTTCTTCTGCCATAATGTAGACTTTATGCTCACAGTCACTTATACCCATGTGATAAAGCTTTAGAAGCTTTGTTTTATAGGACTAAATGATCTGAAACTCAGTATTTTTTTTTAACTCGATTGTTTTCTTGGTAAGTGCTACTGTGGGTCTTAACTCTAATCTCAACTCTGTACTGTCTCAGATAAATAGCAATGATCTATTCCCTCTAGCTTTAGTTTTCCTTCTTTCTGATCTTGTCATCCGATCCCAGAACCACAGACTCCTGTGTGGCTGACAAAGTTCCAGTGGAATGCAGGCAGCAGAAAAGCATATGTCATTCCATTTATAAGTCCCATCCCAGTTCTCTGTTGAAAGGAATTTTACTAATCTTAGAAACAGCTAGGAACATTTTATTTACTTCAGAAGATCTCATTTTAACCATTTCAAGTAAAGTGAGAGATAATTTGCATCCCCAACTACACACCGTTTTCTTCTCGTTTAACAGATCCATAGATGCAATGCCACTAATGATGAATTCTTGCCTAGGTCTTAATTACAGTTTATTACAATCAAAACTAGCTTCATGTTTCTCTCACCAATATAGACAGCGAGAAACAGTTACATCTGAAATCCAGAATGCTAAAACCACAACATGAGAAGTTTATTTTGAAATTCTAAATATTTCCAAAGTGACTCACCCCAAAGGTGGTGTGTGCTAGGCAAATACTTCAAGAAGTTAGAAAAGTCAAGACCCACTGATATGAAAGTCTCGACCTGACAATGCTTCTTACTATCATCCAATGAATCAAAGTGCCAGGGAAGTATTTAGGGTTGTTTAAGTGATTCTACAAGCACATAGCTGCTTATGGTATTTTTGATGATCTAAAATTCAGGTCAGTAACCTGAACGAAGAAGCAAAATTCTTTCAGTCTACTGTCTCATGCTTGCTGTCCTCCTTTGCCGGTTTCGCAGGCTGTCTGGTATAGGTAGGAAAGATTAGACTCTGTATTAACCAGCTGATGAAGCTCCCACTGCTTGACCTGAGCAGTCTCCTCTTACCCCAGAAATAAACCATTACTCACTGTATCCAACACAGCAAATACTGCTCCCTACCCTGTCTCATTCTCCTCTGGTTCCCCATGCCCTGTAAAAAGATGGCCATTCTTTCCCAAGGACCTTAGACTAATTGAAAGCCGGGCCTGTAAGAGACCCCAGAGGTCCTCTCTCCACCTCACTGCCCTGCCTGGCCCTGTCCTGAGAGGGTATCCACCCAGGGCACGGATTTGCAGCTTTGTGTAACTAATGCCTGACATTCTCCCTGCTCTCTCCTTTGTCCCTACAGCGCCATGGCTACTTACTCTGCCACATGTGCCAACAATAGCCCTGCACAGGGTATCAACATGGCCAACAGCATTGCCAACCTGAGACTGAAGGCCAAGGAATATAGTTTACAGAGGAACCAGGTGCCAACAGTCAACTGAGGAAAAAAAAATAATTAAACAGGCCTAAGAAGAAATCAAAAACCATAAGACACCTATCCTGTTCTGTCATTTCTTCATCCGCTGGAAAAAAAAATAATAAAAGCAAAAACAAACAAAGCCAGAACTAAAATATTGGGAGCATGGCGGAGAAAAGCAGGAGAGGAACAAAATGAAAATTAGTTAACAATTGTTCCTTCTTTTTTTTTTTTTTTTCTTGGATACCATCACCATTTGCTTCTGTGTGTATTTATCTTATTTTCCTTCTATCCATGCTTTGCTAATTATACTCCAGGCTTCTTCAGCTAGGCTCAGCCCACCCATTCCTATAATTGTATGAGAATAAAAAGAATCTACAGCAGCCAAAGAAACACATATACATATATGTTTTTATATATGTATATATGTGAAAGATTACTTCTCAGTAAACTGTTTGACCTCAGTGCCTTACTCTCTCTCCTTCTAAGTCTCCCTAAGGGATCTTCTTGAAAATCCAAAGTCTTTCTGAAGACTCTGTATAATTGTGTTCATGTGTGTTGGTCATGGTAAGGTTTTTCTATCAGCTACAGGAAAAAAAAGTAATGTCCACATGTTCTGATCACTGACCTGTCTGATCAATGTGGTTGGCCATGTGTCGTGAACACTGAGCTCTAATATCTAGATTATAATGTCACCATCAACACTGTCTCTCACCTAATTCAAACAATAAACCACTCTAAGTTAAAGAAATTTGTTGTTTTTAAACAATTGCTGTCACTCATCCTTTGGTAGAAGAAATACTTTTGGCTGTAGAAATGGAGAGAATTTTTTTTAGTAGGAAAACAAATACTGAATTGTGAAAAACATAGCCTATATCTCTGTAGTGCCTTAAGGGGTGGTCAGATGCACACTTCATATATATATATATATGCTGTATATATTTATATATTATATATAAAATATTGAAAGCTTGAGTTTGTGATCTCTCAAACATTATAAAAGCAAACTTTACACCATCACCACTGCCCTTACCTACACAAAATGATACATTAATGGGGCATCTTGCTGTTTTTCATGCTCTATACAAATTCTTATTATGGTCATAGAGCAATTAGCCAGGGAGCTGTTTGACAACAGCTTTCATTTTCACATTAGGGCTTTAATAGAATTATGAATTACTTGATATTATAAAAGTGACCTTGAGTTTGGAGCTCAAGTGGAAAGTCTTTATCATCTGGCCTGTCATAGAGGAAATATATGCAAAGGGAGGGGCCGTTAACCATCACTCTTCCTCCACTCCTCAAGAATATGAAAGGCAAGTAACATGTTTAAGTGAAATGCTTGAAGCTTTCTACACTTTTCAAAAAAAAATAACAATTACACTTTTATATTTTAATGGTTTTAAAATGAGGTTTAGTATCTAGGGTGGGAGGCATGGCTAGTATTTCTTGTTTATCTTTGTTCCCAGCTATGCTTTGGCAACTTTCCTGGTGGACTTGACCAAACCATGTCACTATGCTGTGTCTAGTTTACCTATGTGTAAAATGAGTTTAATAATTCTTACCTACCTCACAGGGATGTTGTGAGGATATGCTCATTTATTCTTCCTTCCTTCTTTCTTTCCTTCCTTCCTTCCTTCCTTTCTTCCCTCCCTCCTTCCTTCCTTCCTTCTTTCCATCCTTCCTTCCTTGTTCTTTGTCCAGCACTTTGTAGCCATGAGAGTAAAGGGACTTTAAGAGCATACAATGTTCATGGACTAACATGGTATCTGAAAGCTTTGTTTTCTAGCAAGGAAATGGTATCTGGCTGTACATACATATAACATCCATGTATTTGGAAATAATAAATAGGTTTATATTTTCAGATATCTCAACAATCACATCATTTGACCAAAGAATAATTTAAGGCACAAAGTATAGAGATATTTTTTAACTTATATTCTCATCAACAGCTTGGTTGTAATAACCATAGTTCTCAGTGAATAGAAGCTTCAGATTGATTTTGGCCAAATATGTCAACTTTGTAATATGAATGACAGGCAAAGTATTTGGGGTACAAGATGCACTCTTAGCACACATTTGTATTTCGCTTGGCATATCTGGTTGAGTTAATGGTGGTATTTTTTTTTTCAGTCGAACAGCCACTGATCTGAAAATATATTTCAAGTGATTTTTGTACTTTGTTTAATAATAAGAAGGAAGGCCATCTTGTGTAGTTTGATCTCTTGAAGTGATTCCTTCTCAGTAACTACTATTAAACATTTCTTTCAGAATAGTCTAGGTGGTCTGGCTTAACACACATGACTTGATTTTAAGGCATTTTCCCACTCATGTATTTGTCCCATTGATTGCTGTGTATTATCAAGTTTCAAAGGAACAGTATATCCTTACTGTAAAAGCTGTCTTTGATTTGCAAGTGAGTGCAAGTCCAAGAGAGGAGCAAACTTTGGTAACTTAGAGTTTTCAGAGAATAGCTAAACATTTTTTATTATAGGCAAGAAACAGAAATTATAAATGAAAAGGTTTTCCTAAGGAGGGTAGAATCTTGGAAGAAAGTCATATAAGAAAGTTGTTTGAAGTCATTTGAAACCTTCATCCTGACATCCACTTCCAGTGGTCATCAAAAAAGCCTGATCCCATAAACTCAAAAAAAGGAAGTGGAAGGTTTTATCTGATTCTCTGTATAAGCAGTTTCTCAAAATTTCATAGAATAACCCATGGTAGTTAGTCACAGGAATGAGTGTTGCCGGTGAATCCACACTATGGTGTTTTTATCTGAGCACCTCTCAGGAAATATGCCTGAAACACTAGCACTCAGTTTTGTTCATTTATGATCCACTGTTTAAAAGAACATATGTTTAACAAGTGTTTTGGAGGTTTAGATTTGTATCTTGCAAGTCAATTGCCAGAGAAGTGTCTCAGTGTCAGACTAAAGGCGGTATACACCTATTACTCTCCATCAATATACCCAGATGAAGCCATTAGAACTACCACTGTCCACAATCCCTTCCCAAACAAGAGGCCAATTAGTAGAGTACTTGGCAGGTTAAATTAAGCCAGAAGAAATGACCTAAACCCAACAAAAGGAGGCTCACATATGGTAATAAAGATCTCATAAGAAGTGTAATATGTAAATTATATCTTGCTTTATGGTGTAAAATATACATTGTTTGTGCTAGAATAGAAGTGATTTCTTTTCAATAAAATGAAAGATGGATACTACATTGTCTTTTGTTGTCATGCATTGGACTCCGATGATTATTTTTTCTTTGAACTTCCAAACACAGAGCTGCTTGGATTCAATATGGCATTGAGAAATGTGAAGGTAAGAATGGTTTATAAGCAAAAGAACTTTTGTTGGAGTGTGATGTTACATCTTATAAAAGAAAAATAACCTATGACTCTTCAAAAACAAAAATAGTGGGAGGAAAAGGAATATATATGTATATTATGTGAAGATCAGGGTGGAATTTCTGATAAAATTTTGGCAGTTTTACCAACACCTTTAGCATCTGCAGTACTAGATATGATATGACAAACACTCTGTATATAAGATACAAGCTTTTATTTTAATAATATCAAAATGAAGCATTTTAAGCAACCATTGTATACAGTGTGGATGTGTGAATAGAAAAGCCACATTATGATAAATTCATTGTTTTCATACCAATAAAAATCTGGTAAAAAAAAAAAAAGAGACAACTTGAGCATAAATAAGTTTATGCAACAATTCAAGACCATCAGTTAATAGTCATTAAACAAATGGAGCAGATAGAGTAATTCCGGAAGAAGAGTAAACACTGGAAGATAGAGGTGACATATGAGAATTTAAAAACAAATGATAAATAGCGAGTCTTCCAAGGAAGGATCAATATGATTTCTTTTTTTAAGCTTTTAAAAAATTTTTATTAATTACATTTTATTCACTTTGTAGCCCCCCTGTAGCTCCCTCCATCCTTCCCTCCCAATTTCTCCCTGCCTCCCCCTTCTCCATGCATGCCCCTTTCTAAGTCCACTGATAAGGAAAGTCTTCCCTTCCTTCCTTCTTATCCTTGTCTATTAGGTCTCATCAGGACTGGCTGCATTGTCTTTCTCTGTGGCCTGGTAAGGCTGCTCCCTCCCCCCCTTCAGGGGAAGGTGATCAAAGAGCAGGCCAATCAGTTCATGTCAGAGACAGTCCCTGTTCCCATTACTATGGAACCCACTTGGACACTGAACTGCCATGGGCTACATCTGTGCAGGGGTTCTAAGTTATCTCCATCAATGGTCCTTGGTTGGAGTATCAGTCTCAGAAAAGACCCCTGTGCCCAGACCTGGATAGGACAGGAGCTTCACAAGGAGAGCAACAGAACCAAAAAATCTGGACACAGGGTTCTTTTCAGTATGATTTCATAGCAAGAAGAGAAGAGAGTTGAAAACAATACTGACTGAATCCTGGTGACTCAGAGAGCAAACCATTGATAAAGCATAATCAATTAACCAATCAGATCAACAAAAAGGTGCTGTCCAGTTGCAGGGAAAGATGACTGCAGCCTTAGATATATTGTTCAACCTGCCAACTCCAAGTGGAAGCTCCCAATGAGCAAGGACACAGAAGTAGGATTGAGTATCAAGGTCAGGAGTTTAGTCCGAAGTTTAAAATGACAACTTGGCATACAAAAAATGAATGTGTTTTCCAAGATAGAAACTGCCCTGTAGCAAATAATTTTAATAAATGACTTTTGAAAGTAGTTTCAGCACAGGGATAAATATTATGATTTAAATAGCTGCAGCAGTCGGGAAGAGGTGCACAGAAGTCTATTTCTAAGAATGTGTTTGGGGTAAACCAACCATGTTTATTGTCTGAGAATTAAGTTTTAATCCCTGACCGTCAGGAAAACACATGAAAACTACATGGAAGCCCATCTTCTCTCAGTGACAAGAAAATAACTCACAACTGCTGATGAGAATCCTTGGTGGGGAGGGCAGGGATCAACATGGAGTCTCAAAAAACCTAAAAAGAGAACTTCCATATCAACTGCAGTAATCATATAATTTACAGTAATTAAGGTGTGGAATTAGCTGGGATGCTCACCAATAAATGACTGAGTTTTAAAGATGTAATATGTACACGGTAGAGTTTTACTCACCTACAGTGAAGGATAACATTTGTCATTTGCAGGAAGTGAGGTGGAGCTGGGAACCATTTTGAACAAAATAATATTGCATGTTTTCCCTTGAAGTATGTGTCAGCACTCTGGAGGCAGTGGGACCCGTGAGACTAGAGTCGGCTAACGACTCATGCAATAGTCAACTTTACTCAGAACCACAGGCAAATTGTACTCTGAGGGTTAAAAATGGTCACCCGAATGAGGTACTCATGGGTTCCAGCTCTCACAGTCACAAGGACAAGCTTCATGTGGCAAAATCACGTTTTCCCATAGAGGCACACAGAGGGTGATGTGTAAGCGTTACACTGAGTGACAGCAGCAGCCAATGAGTCACGGAAGTAAACTCACTCCTGTACGCCACACCTGCTAGGAACAGGGAAAACACGTCCTTGAAGAAGCTGAGGTCACAAGACTCTTGTTTTCTTGGAGTGTTCTCACAAGCACTCAACATTCTCCTCAGATGACTCTAATAAGGAATATATAGAGAGAGAGACATACATGCATACGTTTATGTATGTATGTATGTATTTATATACACACACAGAGTGTTTATACATACACATACATATACGCATACATGTATGTCTATATATGTCTATATATATGTGTATATATATGTATAACTGACATGTTATAAAAGGAGAAATAGGGAAATGAAGGGAGAACAAGAGAGGATAAGGAGAAAGAACAAACACGCAAACACAAATGTTACATGTATTCTTTCATATACAGAAGCCTGATCC